AAATTGTTTTTTATTCACTCTTACAATCTTTATCTTCCAACAAACCCTGACTGGTTTAACTTCAGTGTAATATATTCATGTTATTTCTTATGTAATGTATCATGACACTAACCCTTCTTTTCAATTTCAACTATACTGCATTGTTTGTATTGCCCGCTTTCAATACAGTAAACTATTACGAGGTTTGAATGTGCTTCAATTTTAGTAAATTTTTACTTGGTCAGTTAGTTTTATAATGAAGTTTGTTTTTCCCTAATCTTGTTTAAAATGAACATGAATATAACAAACAACTCAGAAAACTAGTCAACATAAATGTAATTTGCTCACCAAAGACATGGAAGAAAAATGACAGTATACAAAATTTATGGAGATTTACCTACTATGTGTTCTTTCTATTGACATAAAAGTGTACTAAGTATCATTATATGCGAATTAGTTGTTCATTGCATTTTGCTGTTTTAAAACTGTTTGTATTATTCTATTATTTATTCTTCCCAGTCTTTTTTGCCGCAATGCTTTTATCGGTTAAAAACGTCAATAAAAACACATATATGAGACCACCAACCACTTTCAGTCGGTTTACAGTGGGGTGTTCAACTCTGTCCAATTTTATCACCAAATATGCATATATAGATAATTTTTAATTGTGAACATTTTTTACTGTGAAACAATAACTTCCTTCAAAGACTTAACTCCATTATTGTACTCAAAAGTGTTTCTAAAAATGCTGGTCCAAAAGCAGTTATGATTCTTATTAGCCAAAAAGGTTTCAAATAGATTTTAGTCTGTATTACATAAACTCATTCAGGGTTTTTTTTATGATTAACATACGTAAACAAAGTTAGGTGGATATAAACAAAGTATTGATCGTCCAAAAGATTTCTTTTTTACTGTTAGTCACATTTTGCATAAATCTGAATAATACGTTGCTGTCAGCGATAATAGCACAGAGAATAATGAGATATTTATTTATAATTGATTTTAATAAACTAATGATCGAGAAGTATAGTTTAGTTTTTATTGTAAATCCAGAACTCCAAAATTAGTAAAGAAACTATTCCACACTACGCTAACAAAACGTGTAATATAATGTTTAGCTTAACCAAGAAGTTTATGAGAATTCTAAAATAGCTTACCTACCTTACAGCTTAAAAATAAAAACACGATAAGAATAGAGCGTTAATCATTGGTTTTATGGTAGAAAAATGAGTAAACGTTACAACCGATAATATTTTATACAGAGATAAACTTATTTAATGAATGTTACCGTTCATCAAATTAATGATAACAGGAGTATAATCTCAAATTCACCTAAAAATTGGAAAATTTGAGGGTACTTTTAAATGCATCTACATTTGTTATATCATCCTCTTGAAAATAAGAAAAAATAAGATTTTTTCAAGGATTGTATATCGTTTGAACACAGAAATATATTGTTCACAAAATGTAATAAAATCTATTTTTAAAAAGTACTAGAGAAGTGTACTTATTTTAGATTTTTACTTTTGAAACAAGTTCTTTGCCTTATTAGAATAAAAAAATTAATTTAAAATGAAATTTACACTTTTGTTCCGCCTGATTCAAGCCCAATAACTGAATTAGAATGAATCTTCTTGAACAGTAATTTTACGATACTGATT